GCTCTTTCCCTCGCGCGCGGGCTGAGGTTCGGTGTCGTTCGCGATGCGCGAAGCACCAACTTAGTAACCTATTACTGGCTTTTTGCTTTCGCCTTTATGTGGTTTCTTTTGTGATGTTCGTAATAAAATTCTATAATTTCTTATTTATTCTTCAAAAACCCGTGGAACAACAGAGAAAGTTTAAATTGCAGTAGTAACATCAGAATCGAAAGGCAATGTAGCTTTAACACCGATGAAATGATAAAAGAAAGCACAACTTCAGCACCAGTAACAACAAAAAAAGCACATTTAGTCCTTAGTATCACTCAAGAAAGAAAACAACCTAAACACGCGCAAATTCATATGAAACAAGAGTAAAACAAAGTCTAAGCACCCGCATTTCCACTATCTTCAAGATGCAATGACGAAAAGCTATTGTCTACATCTACATCTGTTAGTAAGGCTTCGGTGAATCCATTGAGTACCGAATCAACGCTGATATCCCGAAAACTTTGGACCACCTGTTGGCAATCAACTCCAACCGCGGCGATTTTCTTCTTCCTCCTCTAGTCAACTCCATCTGATCACTGTCAGCCTCTGTGCTATCTCAATAGCTTTTGCCCTCAATCTCACGGTTGCAACTTTTCTTCCTCGTTCTCCTCGATAATACATCCACTCAGCTCTTCTTCCAATGCTGGCCACTTTGGTGGGGATCCTCTAAACGCTCTCTTATATCTGTCGCACTTTCTGAGCTTCTCCTGATCCTTCGCCATCTTTGTATCTCCTGCGATAGAGCCAAAATGCAGAGAAGCCTGGCCGGTTCCATTCTCGACAGCGTAATCCACTGCTTTCAGTTTGAATTCGGCCGTATAGGAATTCCTCGCACCTGCGACACCAAAATTAGCATACACTTTGAAAAGAGTGAAAAAGTACCTGAAGACATGAGTATCTTTCCTGAAGAGGATCCAAAAACGCGCCGTTTTTAATCTGTTAGATATCACTTTTCGAGGGCGCTTTCGCGCCATTGCTCGCTGCGGGTGCCGCTTATACCCCGGATAATAGGTAATATGCTTTAACCAACTTCAATTGTGCAGTCGCCGTGTAGCACAACGACTCGACATCGCTGAGTTTCGCGAAAATCGCGGCTCATCGCTGGAGCTGGAGCGTTCCGCGACCCATCGTGCCGGAAGACTACAACAACCACCATTGCAGGCACGCGGACCTGCGCCGAGTGTGTAACAGTCGCGATACTACAGAAGTGGAGCAAGAACATGCGAGCAGTGTGCGCGACGTTTAAGGCATCTGTCGTACCTCTCACGATTTCGGCTGCCGCGCGAATATGGCTCATTAAGCGCACTCTCGGTAATTAAGATCCGGAACGCTTGTATTAACTTATGCATTAAGCATTCGAGGTCTGCTCGAGATGAACCGAGTTGCCAACGATAGCAATTTTGAATCGAGCGGAAAACGACCTCGGCTCAAAGGAACAAAACTTTACTTGGGCCTTATCTCATAAGCTGTCCCGTCGCCAGTGGCTCCTATGTATGCGGACTGAATCATATGTGCTAAACATCCCCGATGCTTCAGAAAATTCATAACTTGGTTGTTGAAGTACAGCCATATTTGCTGATGGTCTAGCCTGAAAGGTAAAAGCTCTATTTTGACTTTGAGCTTTTTTGTTTTGAGAAGTCTTAGCGCGCTCCAGACATTCTGCAAGCTCTCAGTCCTTTGAAAGACACCTCCAGCGCATTTTTTCTTCTCAGCGGGTCAGCTGTAATGTATTCATGTTTTTCTATCCGAGGCAAGGTCTTTGTATATGCGAAGTTTTTGCAGGTCGATCTTGATTCTGTCCATCCATCTCATTTCGGGCCTCTGGTCCCCGGTGTCTCCACCGCCAACTTTGTCTGCGTTCTTTGAGCTGGAGCTGCATTTATTTGCGTTCGATAGTGTCATTTGCAGATGTGATCCTTCGATGTGCCTAAAGTCCATGGTTCCGCGAGCTGGCCAGCATTCACTTTATACAGGTGCTGCTGGGCGGATCGCGGTCCGGTACAGTTGAGATTTAAATTGCACAGGCAATCTTTTGTCGCACTGAACTCCTGCTAAGCCTCTCCATTTCATCTATGCTGTGTTCATTCTGCTGCGAACTCCTCTTATAGGGTACTTCTGCTGGGATATGAACTGCCTAGGTATTTGTATGACGTTGTTTTCTTTAGCTCTTCACCATCGACGCTTATGGTAGCCTGTTCTTCCAGTTTTGTACCTCATAACTTTTTTGGTACTTGCTATCAAGACCACATCATCTGCATAGAGAATTGTTTAAGGATTCACGTCTGAGTGGTTCCATCAAGGCATTCATCACAGTGAAGACCAAGGGTGAGAGAACCGATCCTCGGTGTAATCCTTGATTCGGAACTCATTCGATTGCCTTGCAGCCAGGGTCAAGCGTGTGAACAACTGTCGCAACGGGGGTCGTAAAGGGGGCATCTACAGTGGGAGGGAGTC